TTTAATAAATAAAGTTGATTCCACTCACATATTGTTGCTGTAAAATAATTTTTCTCTGACAGTTTAGAGTTTCTCTGCTGTGATTTTACTGAGTTGTTGTGTGAACTTGACTGTCATTTTTTACAGTGTGCTAATCTAAGAGGATCGGCCAAAGCAGAAAAACCTGTTTAAACGTTTTAACCTTCATTTCCTGCCCGTCTCTTTGCTCTGAGTCACAGAGCAGGAAACTAAAAGTCAACCATAAAACCAACAACTAAAATCCTTCTTTTATCTTTAAATGTTGTATTTTGGCTCTAATTTCACTGAAATACTTTCTTAAGCTGATTGTTGCCGTTTGCCAGCCGACACCATTTAACACACAGATCAAGGGATTTCAGGCCAACCTGAGTTTCTGCTTCATAATCAGCTTCTGTGGACGATGCATCTGCTGCTCTTTAATATTTACAGGTTCATGTTGACAAAATCCACCTGAGTTTTTACCTGAACAGGCCTTCATTTAATCCTTCGTCCTGTTTTTCTAGCTGGAGGAGATGAAATGACTTTAAAGGTCTCAGGGCGACGTTCCTCCATCTGACCAATGAAATCAAGTCATCAGTGAGAGGAAACATTAAAGCATCATTTACTTCAATCTGAAGCATTAATGAATAGAAACCTGGTAACTGTCTGTTTTATTGGCTTTATTTTGCTGTTTCAGATCAACAGGAGACAAGAACAACAGACATTTGTTCCCATGAAGCAGCTGATCAGTTTTTTGCATGAAATTCTTCCAAAATGATAAAAACAATCTTCTTGTTTGGAAATGTCTAATTTACGCAACATTTATATAAATAAAAACTCTTCAACCAAAAGTAAAGACGTTACTTTTGTATAAATGTTGTGATAGTTTTCATTATAAAATCCTTTATAAGTAAAATTAAAAGAACAAACTTTCAATCATGTAGCTAGAAACTTATTTTCATCAATTTGTTGTAAATAATAAAAACACTTGAAAATATTATGATGGAAAAACACAAAAGAAATAAAAAGTCCAGAGACGATCAGATCGTCTCCAGTTTCCTAAATAAAAATACTGAGTTTCAAAATAACAAATTCGCCAAACCAGCAAACTATCAATCATAAAACCAATCAATCATCTGATCAATAAGGATTAATTTGTTCTTCATGCTGAGATCATCAGAGCTGCTGTTTGATCACTGAGATCTTCATCGGTTGGATCTTTACTGTTTTATTATAACTGCCGAAGTATGGAAACATCTTCTGAGTGAAGGTGTGTGTGAAGGTGTGTATGTGTGTGTTAGTATCCAGGTCAGAGAAGGACAGCTTTCCTCTGTCCCAGTCCAGATTCACTCTGATCCTCTGGACTTTCTTCTGGTCTGAGAGAAAAATGGGACGAGCTGATGGAGAATCTGCTGAGTATCCAAAGATATCTAACCTTATATACAACAATCCAGACTTTATGTCTCCCTTCCTCTCTACAGACTCTTCCAACACACCAAGTCTCCAGCCTTTACTGTCTCCAACATCAACATCCCAGCTGTGGTTCCCTGAGTTAAAACCCTCAGAACTCAGAACAGAATAGTAACCAAACCTCTCTGGATTATCAGGAAGCTGCTGTTTCTCTCCATAAATCGAACCAGTCAGATCTTCAGACAGATTGAGCCATGGACCAGCCGTGTTTGGATCCAGAACCAGAGGAGTGTAGGTCACCATGGTCTCCATGTTGCTCCAGATGTTGAAGGCCAGGTTGCCCAGATGTTTGGCCTGGTCTATCAGAGCTCCTGAGGGCAGCTGTGGATCCTCCAGCAGGGGGCAGCGCTGGACTCTTTCCACTGCAGCCTTGTAGTTGTGCAGGAATGAGACGTCTGCAGCTCTCAGCTCCTCCTCTGTGGCTCTGACTGAGTCTGATAGGGCTGCTATCTCTCTGCTCAGAGCCTCCATCTTCTCCTTCATCATCCCTCTCTTCTGCTTCGCTTCCTCCCTCAGTGCAGCCAGCCTGGCCTCCTCTTCCTCTGCTAGAAACTGATGAAGCTTCTTAAACTGCTCAACAATCTGCCTCTCTGTGTGTCGGGCCTGGACCTCCAGGTGTTCTGCTGTCTGATCAAACTCCTCCTGAACTTTCTTCCTGAGCTCCAGCTTCTCCTCTAAAGGCTCCAGAGTTTCCTCAAGTTTCTTCCTGTGTTGCTGAGCAGCTTCATCGATGGGTCTGAATCTGTGCTCGGTGTGTTTTTCTGAATCTCTGCAGACGATACACACTGGCTGCTGATGGTCCAGACAGAAGAGTTTGAGTTTCTCAGAGTGCAGAGAGCAGAGACCCTCTGAAGCTTTTTGGTTTCTCTGCTGTAACAAAGACTCACACAGATTCTTCAGAGCCAGATTACAGGGAGGATCATCTCTAGAAGATCTCCTACAAACTGGACACTCTCTTCCTGGTTTCTCTCTCCAACATTTCTGCAGACATTCCTTACAGAAGCTGTGGCTGCATGACAGAAGAACCGGATCCTTAAATATCTCCAGACAGACCGGACAGCAGAGATCATCGTCTGATCTGGAAGCCATTTTGTCTCAGAGTGAAGCTGAAAACACAGCAGACAGAAAGTTAAACCAGGAAGTCACTTTCTGTCCTGTAGAAACTTTCTGAACTTACTTTCACTTTGTTCTTCCTCCTGCAGCAGTCTGTGTTTCAGCGTCTAGTTGCTCATTTCTCTCTCTGTTCTTCTTGTTCAGTGTTAGTTTGATTTCAGTCGCAGACGAAGGCAGGTGTCAAAGTTCATCCTCAGGGTTTTTACTCACCGAGTTTTTCTCTGAACTGTTTTCTGTTCAGTTTTTCCCCGAGTTTCTGTTTGAATTACAGTCTTGAGGCGGAGATGTGGCGCCCTCTAGAGGATTTATAGTGAATGTGTGACTTTTGAAAAACTGTACAGTTTATTAACTTTTTCTGATAAAATAGTTTCTTCTTGCTTTCAGTAAAAATATATTTTTCCTCTCATAAAACTCTTTCACCATCTCCACTAACTTCCAACTCAAATCTGCTCCTTTTCAGGTCACCAATGTTACTAAAGATAAATCAGGAGAAATCTGATTATTCAGGGTCTAAAAGAAACTGAGCGTAGTAAATGTGTCATCAACTCTGATGATGATGATGATGATGATGATGATGTTTCTTTACCAGTTCCTTTCTTGCCTTTTCATGGCTGACAGGAAAATCCGTCTTGTGGCGACTGGAACCGAGTTCTGGACCCAGTCTGGACTGGGATCAGGATCTGACCAAACACTGAGCTGAAGTCGGGAAACAGTCCCAGATTTTATGAGAGAATTAAATCTGGTAGATATCTGGAGACATTTAGAACCAGCTGAAATAATCGACTCATGACAATCAACAACATATTTGACTATTTATTGATTCCAATCGAATTTCTCTCAAATGTACCTGATTGTTGCCATGGTAACGTGCTACTGTCAGATCACGCTCCCTGTAGTTTAATCTATTCTAGCAACAGCAAAAGCCGAGATCATCCCACTTCCCCAAGCTGGAGATTTAGCTTAATAGTAATAAATAAATAAAGTTTCCTTTAAAGTTAATCACACAAGTAACATTTAGACCCAACAGTCAAACTTTAATCAAATCAATCAGGTTGTCTGTTGTTTTATCTCCTGCAAACTTTGCTTTAATTCTACTTTCTTTTTTCTATCTAATCATAAAAACAAAGTCAGGCAGAAAGAGAGTCATGAAACAGGAACAGCAGGTTTCCTGAGAGAAGAGGAAGTTTCCAGCTCATAGATTCATAGAAATAGTTGAAACTATTCCTTATTTCAAAGCATAAAAGGTTTAAAGAATGAAGTCTAAACATTTTGAGTAATTGAATAAGACCTAAAGTGAAATATTTAAATTAATATTGGTTTTGTAAGGACACTCAGTGGGACCCGGAAATTCAACCCCACACAGGAGTAAGCAGTGAAAAAACAAGTTTAGTTAATATTCAGACTCTGGTTCAGGAAGAGTTTGTCAAACACAGCACTGAGGAGAGAGGGGAGAAGCTGGTGATGCTCAGATAACGGAGGGTATCTTTGAAATGTTCATCTCAACGGGCCTGTAGAGCAGCAGACGGGTGGAGCAGAGGAGCTGAGGGTCTGACAACAGGGAGATGCAGGAAACCAGAGGAACAGGCTTCAGTGGGAGCAATGAAGATCTGCACCAGGAGATCCAAAACGCAACATCAGGGACTTTGTAGATAATCTGGCAACGAGGCAGAGACTGAGACGAGTTTAAGGTGGAACAGGTGAGCAATCAGGGTGGCAGGTGAGCTGGATGAGAGCTGAACACAGCATGGACAAGAATCAGAGCAGGTTTACTGAGAAGAAAACTGACTTTGTGGGAAAACCTACAAGTAAAACAAGTAACTGTAACTTTGGCATCAAATCATTAGAGTGATGGATTATTCTTGGTTTCTTTTCAGAACACCGTCTGAAACCCAAATGAAGATTTTAATAAGAGTATTTCATAAGTCATGGTTAAAAGACTAAAATCTTTGCACTGCAGCTTTTTTCTAAACAAACCCAGGAAGTAGAGTAAAGCTTCTTCTTTTTCTTCTTGTTTTAATGGCGGTTGGCAAGCAACTTATTCATGTGCATTACCGCCACCTACTGGTAAGGAGTGTGGATCAGAACGCAAAAAAACAAAACAAAAAAAAAAAACCTAAATCCTTTCTATCAGTTTAGTTTTCTTAAGAAAGCTTATTAAATAACGTAAATATTCAGAAGAAGAGCAATATCCCAACATATCTGGTATTTTTAACTGTAACTTATTCTTTAGAATTCGATATTCTAATTTCCTTCTCTCCTCGGAGGACTTTGGACATAACAAAACATGTTCTACTGTCTCTTCTTGAAAACAAAATTCACAATTCCCTGATGGATGTCTCCCCATTTTAAATAATGTACTGTTTAAGCCTGTATGACCAAAACGTAACCTGGATATAATGTTTTCTTCTTCTTCCTGTTCCCCTCATTGCCCCAATTTTCCTTTGAATACTATAAAGCATCTACCAGTTCTTTCTTCCTCCCACTGCTTCTGCCATCTTTCCTTAACCTTTTGTTTTATAATAGATTTTATTTCCTCTTTACTAAATGGAATCAGTATCTCAATGTAACTGTTTTTTGAAGCTTGTTTTGCATATCTGTCTGCCAATTCATTTCCTATTACTCCTATATGAGATGGAACCCATGTAAAAATGACAATTAATCCCATGGTCTGAATTCTATAAAGTATTAATTGAATCTCCAATAGAAGGTGTGGTCTACTATTAGACTGATTATTTTTAATTGAATATAACGATGAGCTTGAATCAGAACAAATTAAACTTCTCAAAGGACGAACCTCTTCAACCCAACTTAAATCCAAAATAATTCCCATCATTTCCCCTGTAAACACTGATACGTCATCAGAAATCCTCTTACATTTTTTAATATTAAATTCTGGAACGATAAACGACACCCCATTGTTGCTACTTAAGCTTTTAGATGCATCTGTATACACTTGAACATAATCAAAATATTTATTTTCTATATATGATTGGACTGAGCATGATTCTGAAAAATGTCCTTTTTCCCTCTTCTTCAACAATGATAAGTCCACAATGATTTCATTAAATAGAGATGGATGGACCAGTGACAAAGGAACTGTTTCACTCATTTTTATGGATGATAACTGAAAATTTTTCACATCATTTTCTATCTCCCAACCAAAGGATTTTAAAGTCTTTTTCCCCTTTTCCCAACTAGGTTTTAACATTTCTTGACATGGATGGTTTTCATAATGACCCTTTAAATAACTCCAGTAAAATAATCTTAACTGTAATCTTCTAGATCCGGATTCACCTGTGACCCGGAACTTAAAGTGTGCCGTCAGTTTGACCCGCCAAAATAAAATACGGGTTGATTATTTAGTGCAGGTTACATAAACACATCCATCTTTTCTCCAGATTTGCTTCTCAGCATCAGTTGAAAAGGGCTGCGTCTCATGCAATGCGACCTCTGAAGGTGAAGGCAGCCAAAGGTTAATGGAGCAGACATGTAATGGTTTTAGTGCAGCAGCGTCTGCAGCTGCATTCCCTCTAGAAACAACATCAGAGAGGCCTGTGTGGGCAGAATATTTCACAACAGCTATTCCTTCAGGAATAGCATCTAATAAGTCTGAAATAAAAAACAAAGCAGATAAAATACGTAAATAAATGAGAAAAAGTTTCATCAGTTCCATCAAAAATGAAATAAGACTGAAAACTAAATTTTCTATTACATTGGAATCAGCTGAAAACAGATACATGCTGCATTTTTCATGCTCTTAATGTGGATTTTTGCTTCCATTTCACAATTTACTCACCACTTTTTGTTGATCTGCCACATGAACTGAATCCTAACAGACTAAATGTTGGTTCCACTTCATCATCCTGAGTGTTTCTGACTNATGAAATGACTTTAAAGGTCTCAGGGCGACGTTCCTCCATCTGACCAATGAAATCAAGTCGTCAGTGAGAGGAAACATTAAAGCATCATTTACTTCAATCTGAAGCATTAATGAATAGAAACCTGGTAACTGTCTGTTTTATTGGCTTTATTTTGCTGTTTCAGATCAACAGGAGACAAGAACAACAGACATTTGTTCCCATGAAGCAGCTGATCAGTTTTTTGCATGAAATTCTTCCAAAATGATAAAAACAATCTTCTTGTTTGGAAATGTCTCTTTTACTCAACATTTATATAAATAAAAACTCTTCAACCAAAAGTAAAGACGTTACTTTTGTATAATGTTGTGATAGTTTTCATTATAAAACCCTTTATAAGTAAAATTAAAAGAACAAACTTTCAATCATGTAGCTAGAAACTTATTTTCATCAATTTGTTGTAAATAATAAAAACACTTGAAAATATTATGATGGAAAAACACAAAAGAAATAAAAAGGCCAGAGACGATCAGATCGTCTCCAGTTTCCTAAATAAAAATACTGAGTTTCAAAATAACAAATTCGCCAAACCAGCAAACTATCAATCATAAAACCAATCAATCATCTGATCAATAAGGATTAATTTGTTCTTCATGCTGAGATCATCAGAGCTGCTGTTTGATCACTGAGATCTTCATCGCTTGGATCTTTAATGCATCAATAGTGGAGAAGAATGGAAACATCTTCTTAGTGAAGGTGTGTGTGAAGGTGTGTGTGTGTGTGTTAGTATCCAGGTCAGAAAAGGACAGCTTTCCTCTGTCCCAGTCCAGATTCACTCTGATCCTCTGGAGATTCTTCTGGACTGAGAGACGAGTGAAAGGAGCTGATGGAGAAAATGCTGAGTATCCAACAAAAGAGAACCTAATACCCAACAGTCCAGACTTTATGCTTCCCTTCCTCTCTACAGACTCTTCTAACACACCAAGTATCCAGTATTTACTGTCTCCAACATCAACATCCCAGCTGTGGTTCCCTGAGTTAAAACCCTCAGAACTCAGAACAGAACGGGACCAATCAAACCTCTCTGGATTATCAGGAAGCTGCTGTTTCTCTCCTCTAGTCAAACCAGTCAGATCTTCAGACAGGATGACCTTTGACCCAGCCGTGTTTGGGTCCAGAACCAGAGGAGTGTAGGTCACCATGGTCTCCATGTTGCTCCAGATGTTGAAGGCCAGGTTGCCCAGATGTTTGGCCTGGTCTATCAGAGCTCCTGAGGGCAGCTGTGGATCCTCCAGCAGGGGGCAGCGCTGGACTCTTTCCACTGCAGCCTTGTAGTTGTGCAGGAATGAGACGTCAGCAGCTCTCAGCTCCTCCTCTGTGGCTCTGACTGAGTCTGATAGGGCTGCTATCTCTCTGCTCAGAGCCTCCATCTTCTCCTTCATCATCCCTCTCTTCTGCTCCTCTTCCTCCCTCAGTGCAGCCAGCCTGGCCTCCTCTTCCTCTGCTAGAAACTGATGAAGCTGCTTAAACTGCTCCCTAATCTGCCTCTCTGTGTGTCGGGCCTGGACCTCCAGGTTTTCTTCTGTCTGATCAAACTCCTCCTGAACTTTCTTCCTGAGCTCCAGCTTCTCCTCTAAAGGCTCCAGAGTTTCCTCAAGTTTCTTCCTGTGTTGCTGAGCAGCTTCATCGATGGGTCTGAACCTGTGCTCGGTGTGTTTTTCTGAGTCTCTGCAGACGAGACACACTGGCTGCTGATGGTCCAGACAGAAGAGTTTGAGTTTCTCAGAGTGCAGAGAGCAGAGACCCTCTGAAGCTGTTTGGTTTCTCTGCTGTAGGAAAGACTCACACAGATTCTTCAGAGCCAGATTACAGGGAGGAAAATCCTTAGATGATCTCCTCTTACAAACTGGGCACTCCTTTGCTTGTTTCTCTCTCCAACATTTCTGCAGACATTCCTTACAGAAACTGTGGCTGCATGACAGAATAACCGGATCCTTAAATATTTCCAGACAGACCGGACAGCAGAGATCATCGTCTGATCTGGAAGCCATTTTGTTTCCTCAGAGTGAAGCTGAAACCACAGCAGACAGAAAGTTAAACCATGAAGTCACTTTCTCTCCTGTAGAAACTTTCTGAACTTACTTTTACTCTGATTTGCTTGTTGTTTCGTCCTCCAGCAGTTTGTGTCTCTAGTCGCTCAGTTCTCTCTCTGTTCTCCTTGTTCAGTGTTAGTTTGATTTCAGTCCGAGACGAAAATGATCCACGTGCGTTTCCTCCAACACTTTTCTCTCTAAACTGTTTCCTGTTTTTCCCGGATGTTCCTGTTGGAATCACTCCGCCCCAAGAGGATTTTCTCTTTTTCGTCTTTTTTTCTTCTTCTACTGTTTTTTTTCTTGGTTTTATTGGCGGTTGGCTACAAACGTTTAGTAGCTTTACCGCCACCTGCTGGTATGGAGTGTTGATCCTGCCGGTCTGATTCATACTATCTATGCATATAAACATCGATGTCCACCTATATACGTCATTTAATATACAGACCACACATAAATTTACATACTTTTCTATACATTATCCATTTATTTATCATGCACTCATTTAAAAACACATCCATTACATCTAATCAAATTCCATGAAATTATTTCGTTTTCTTGGAAAGTCTAACAACTATATGCTTACTACCCAAATTCTTCCTCATAATAAATTAATATTTTCCTTCATTCTTTCAAACTCTCTCCTCATGTATCTTGTCTCTTTTTTATGACATTCTACAATATCCTCTGTTGTTTCATATTTTCCCGTGATCACATTTGCCAGTATTGTGCTTTTCAATTTTAAAGTGTATAGTTAAATCCGGTCTGTCCAAATCTTAACTTTATTAGTCTTTTCTTCTTTTTTCTTTCTAACAATCTTTTGAATTTCATAACCATCTTCCTGTTTTCCTTCATCCCACCTTTTTAGTAGTTCTTTGTCTTTAACAAAACTCTTTTTTACTTGTTTTTTACTTGTTTTAGCTGTGAGACTTAAAGGATTTTTTGAATTTTCCTCATTGCCATTTTATCTGCCCTCTCATTTCCAACAATATGTGGTGGAACCACAAATATAACTATCAAACCCATATTTTGTATTCTGAACAATGTATGAAATATTTATAATAAAATGTCCATCCTACTGTCTGACTGATTATAATTTAAACATCATAATGCAGAGTTTGAATCTGAGCATATAGTTTTTAATGGTTTTATATCTCATATCTATTGTAAAGCTAATAATATTGCCAACAGTTCTGTAGTTTGCTTTCCTATTTTTATATTAATTTATGGTACTACACTCTAAAATGCTTTATTCAACTCTCAATAAACTGTTAATTCAACTCAAGTAATGTGAGTAATGTACATGTTTGGCCTGAGAAAAATGAACTGGATTTTTTTTTGTTACTGGAGCGAATGCTTCAGCTCAGCAGTGCGCATGCGCAGCAAAGTGCCGGAAGCTTCCAGAATGTTTGTTGACAGTGGAATAAGCAGATGTTCTTTAAAGGTGAGTTATTCGTCTTTAGTAAATTTTCATGTGTCATGTATGCCTTTACTACTCGCATATATGGTTACAGGTTGATTTTTCTCAAAAATGACGAAGCATAAAAGTCTTCACAGGTTAATATGCTAACGTTAGCATGGGCTCCTGGGTCCAACATTAGCTAAAACTGCCATGTCTTTTACCTGAGAGTCTTTAATGTTTTCGTCCATGATTACAGAGCTGACTAATAATTGCCTGTCTTTCAACTGCAGCCTGATATCAGGC